CGGAGCCATCCCAGCATCATTTTTGGGWGTTTTTCCCCGCCTGGAAGCGGCCGCGCCCCGCTAGAGGGGGCTCCCGCCCTGGSCAGCGCCGCTCGCCGGGCTCGGTCCGTGCCAGCCCGGTCCGTGACACCGGGACCGAGCCGTTCCAGCTTCTGGAACAACGACACGCAATATTGCCGTGCCCTGTTTCATTTATCGGGGCGCTCCTCGTAGCTGTCAGAGCTCTGTTTTCTTTATTTATGTTTCCAAATGGAACACCGGAGAATTTAAATCCCTGGTGAGCGCGCCAGGGATGTGGTTTTCTCTTAAAATTTGTATTCCGCATGTTTGGAAAGCAGATGGGGATTGGGAAAAGTCTTTTGGGGATTGGGAAAAGTCTTTTGGGGATTGGGAAAAGTCTTTTGGGGATTGGGAAAAGTGTCGGCAGAGGTGGAACTGCTCCTGTTCCCGGCCCTGCGCAGGAATAATCTCAGGAAGTGGCCGCAAATTGGCTGCTAAACTCTGCCTTGAAGGAGCGTTAAACCCAGCCTGAACAAACCCCGGACTGATCAATATTCGGGGGGCGAGGAAAAAAGATGAGGTGATATTTTGGAATAGCAACGGAGTGGAAATGTGGGGAGATGCAGCGATGAAGGGCTAACTCAGGAGCGAGTTTTTCCCAGGAAAACGGAGCTTCTCGGGGTCTCGGGGATGTGTTGGCAGTCACAGGATTCTCCGTTTAGTTTTGGGGAGAATCACGGAGGTTTTGGGGACAATCCACGCAGTTTTTGGGGACAATCCCGGAGGTTTTGGGGACAAACACGCAGGTTTTGGGGACAATCCACGAAGGTTTTGGGGACAATCCCGCAGGTTTTGGGGTCAATCACGCAGATTTTGGGGACAATCCCGCAGTTTTTGGGGACAATCCCGCAGGTTTTGGGGTCAATCCCGCAGTTTTTTGGGACAATCCCGCAGTTTTTGGGGACAATCACGCAGTTTTTGGGGACAATCACGCAGGTTTTGGGGACAATCCCGCAAGTTTTGGGGACAATCACGCAGCTGCTGTTCTCGGTGCTGTTTTTCCATCACCAAACCGCTGAAGGGAGCGCCCTCCCAAACACCCAGAGTTTCGGGCACCCTCCCCAAATCTGCGAGGGAAATYCGCACCAGCCACGAGTGAAAGCGATAACTTGGGATGATTTCTGGGAACGCCATCGTGACCCAGACACAAACCCTGCCACAGCCGGCGATTTACGGCCCTCGAATGAAAATATCTTCATTTTGGCAGCACCGAGGCTCAGATTGGGTTTCACACTCTCACAACTGCCAAGTGCCTCCAGCAGAATGTTTTGTGTTCTGTGGAATTTCTCACTTGTGGAGCACTAAAGGGTTTCCCTGTGACTGTCCCCGGGCTGGACTCATTTGCCACTCGGCTTTTCCAAGAATTTCCCAAACACCAGTCAATGCAGGCTCCCAATCTTTSCTGCAGCCAAGGAATATTCAAATTTTAGGGCATTTATCTGTGTTTTGGGGGGATGTTTCCCTCTCCTGGATGAGTGCCTGCACTGCGGCCACTCGCTRTCAATCTTGGGCTGCTCTTTTTGTGGATCGTTTGCAGGTTTTTTTGCCGAACAAATGGCCTTCATTCCTTCGCGCCACCTATGAACACCTCCAGGCAAATTTTCTTTTACCTCCCACAGGAGGGGAGTGGTTTCAGGTGGCAGCTGGGAGGAGGAAAGATTGCAACACAAAAGAGCAAAGGAATATGGGACGGAGAAGAAATTGATCTTACCTTGGGAATCTCGSTGATTCAGGGGCAGAAGGGAGCGGGGCTGGGCACAGCGGGCACAGCGCGGGCACGAACAGCGCTCCCCTTCCCTCGCAGGCCGAGCCGGCGGGAGGAACTTGCCCTGTTGTGCCGGGAAAACATTGAAAAACTCATCTTTCAGCCGGTTACTCAGAACACGAAGGGAATTTATCTTGGCAGCCCCGGACTTTTCTCCCCGATGCGCGGCCGCACCTGGCTGGGCGCYGCGCTCGTCCTTGGGGCGCAGCTCCGAGGTAAGGATAGCTGGCTGTGCTGCCGCCCTCACTTCCTTCTTCTGATCCTTTAAATTATCCTTCAGAGATTTTTGTTTTGTTTTGTTTTTTTTTTTTTTTTTTTTTTTTTTTTTTTTTTTTTTTTGTTCCTAAACAATCAGGGATTGTCCAGGAGCTCCGGGTTCAGATCCTTTACACAGCAAAGGTTCCAGACTGACACGAAATTCGCTTTAATTTTCAGTGGTTTATATCAAAACTCCGGGGTTTTAGGAATACCACACCCTCCTTTCCCACGGATGTAATCCGCTTTGAAAAAAAAAAAAAAGTATTTTACACATATTCCTCGCAGTTGCGCTTTTCAAGGAGTTTAAAATGAGAAAATTTGGCACCGAATCTTTGCGTGAGTAATGTGACTTCTGCCAGTGAAGTTTTTCACGTGTGAATACATTCAAAGTTTTGGCATTCCAAATATTTACCCCACCGAGATAAGGAATTATTTGGAAGGAAGTCTTTGGTTATAAATTACTTCCAAATGCTTCTTTATTATGAAGTCATAGTTTACAACCCTAGATAAGTTTTTTTTGGCTTGAGTCACACTGGGGCAAGTTAACTTCCTAAAGTGATAGGAAATGACTGATTTTCCTTTTCCTTCATCAGCAAACCATTAATTTTTCCCGTTTGTTGTTTTCCTCCTTCCTTTTCCTCGCTGTCCCTTTTTCGGGGTAGCACTGAGTTAGTGATGCTCACTGATTTTGAAAGCAGAAGCTGCGGTGGTGGTGAGGATGTTCCTTTTGGAACAAATCCACATTTACCTTGAGGATTTCCTCTGGAATTCCTCATCCTGACTGAATTTACCTGCAGTTGTCCAGGTAGACTCTAAACCCCCTAAAACCGKCTCTGGATATATCAGTAAGAGCAGTTTCACTGTGATGTGCACGAGAGCGGGTATAAAGAGCATAAAAGCGGGTTCTGGCGTGGGAAATAGCAATTATTGAGTGGGTTTTTTCCCGTTTGAAAGGGCAGGGCTGCTCTCTTTGTGTAATTTTATTCAGAATTATTTTCTGAATAAATCTGCAGTACCCAACCCCCATGGAATGTTCCTGAGACACCCAGATTATCCATTGCCAGCACAGATAAGGCTCTTAAAAACCTAAAAACCGTCAGGGAGTGGTGCTGAGCTCACTCCAGACAACGATTTCCCCCTGTGACCCCTCTGTTCGCCCCGCAGCGCTGTGGCTGGCGGCAGCGGTGGAGGTTCACACCGCCAAGGAGGTGTTTGCTGTCAACGGAACAAACCAGCGGCTGAAATGCACCTTTTCCAGCAGCAGCCCCGTGAGCCAGGATCTGATCGTGASCTGGAACTTCCAGCCCGAGGATCTGAGCTCTCATGAGCAGGTGAGTGAAATCTTTATGTTTTCAGGGGTTCAGATTTGCCCCAGTAAAGCTGTCCCAGATGTGGGAAACAACTGGAACCCACAGCTACACTCGGGCTTTTGTCACTGGGAATGACTAATCCGAGTTCTGTTGGTGGACTCTGCCTAAAAAACACTCTCATGTTTAGTTTTGGGTGATCAGGGTTAAAATATCTGTGGCTCGGTGAAGCTGGATCTGCTGACAGCAGAGCTGAGCCCTGCTTTAGGTACATCATAGTGCACAGGAATCTTCCAGATCCTTTCCAGCCCATGTTTCTGGGATTTTTTTAGGTGTTTCACTACCAGAAGGGGCCCTGCAAACCCCCCGCTGGAAGATTTAAAGARAGAGTGACCTGGGATGGGAACATCGAGCGCAACGACGTCTCCATCATSATCTGGAACCTGCAGCCCAGCGACAACGGGACCTTCACCTGCCAGGTGATCAACTTCCCCGACGTCCACGGCACCATCGGGGAGGTGCGGCTGCGGGTTGTGCACAAAGGTGAGAGCCCGAGAAACCCCCAGAGCTGTGTGGATTTAACCAGCGTGGTTTTTCTCCATATCTGGGAAAATTATGGGGGAGTGGAAAGCAGGATGTAGGGAGTGTTAACAGCTTGCATGGGAGAAAAACGCTACGTCTTTAGCAGTTTTGAGAAAAAAGAGATTGGAATGTAGAATTGATAATGCAGGTGGTTTACAATTATAAACATTATTAATGCTGTAGCTTTTGCAAACCTAATCTGATGCTGATGAGTAGAAAGTGACAGCCTCACTGACCAATGTATGTGTGACACAAATGTATGCACTGGTGGCTAAAGTGGATAAAAGAGGCCTGTCCCAGAATAAAGTGGGTACTTTTTGTGTGTGTATATGTGTGTMTTTGTGTCTGTTATTTTGTGTCTGCTGTCTGGCCAACAGCAACAGCAGGAGGGGATAAGATTTTATTCACAGATGCAGGATCTCAGCCTCGTCCCTGTGGCTCATCCCTCTCTCCCTCCCCACGCAGTGAGCTTCTCAGAAATCCATTTCCTGGCCGTGGCCATCGGATCTGCCTCTGTCCTGATGATCATCGTGGTGGCAGCCGTGATTATCTGTCGGCAGCGTCGCAGGARAGCGCGAGACAAGAGGATGGAGGTGGCAGACGCTGAGCTGTAAGGACCCGGCAGGGAGGGATGGGCTCCTGGGAGAGCTCTCAGTGTTATCTGTTATCTCCACGATTGGCTCGGCCCCTGCACCGAGCATCTCCAATGCAAAACTGCCAGCCCAATTAGCGATAATTGGCTGTGTGCWGGCAGARCAGAGCCCCAGGATGGACGAGCTGGGAGTCCTGGTTTGGCTTTTGCTCTTCTCGGTGCTCCTCACTCAGAGAAGGACCCAGCTCTGCTGGCAGATGATGCCAGACACGTGTGGCACCGTCACCACCTCACCTAGGTGTGCTCTGTGTGACTCAGGGCACCCTGCTGCTCACCGTGACACTGATTTGGGCTTTTTTTTTTTTCTTTTTCTTTTTTTCCCCTCCCTTTTTATAACAGTAAAGAAAAGGAGAGCCTGAAGATGAGTGAGGAAAAGGAACCCATTCCATTGGAAGACTAAAAAGATCTTTGCTGTTGTGCACAATGCAGGTATCCATCCAAACTTCTCTAATTTTTTGTCCCAATGTTCCTGTGGACTCTGAGATGGATTCCCTCGGGTATTTCGCTGCTATTCACAGTCAGAACTGAAGCCACAGTCACACTTTAATGTTGAGGATCCTTTAGAGACAGCTGAACAATCCCTGAGCAATCCCAGCCTCTTAAATGCACAAGAGATTCCTCCACCCCTGCTGTTGAGAAGCAGGAAAGCCATTGTTGCTGCTTTCCATGGCATTCCCGCTTTGAGGATGAAGAGGAATGAATTACTTCCCTTTTGTCAATTTTGAATCTGCTTTTTGACTACTTKAACCTCCATTGTTTTAAAATTGCTGCAGGAAGACTGGAACTGTTTCCATATTCTCTGTCTCTGCCTAAACGTGTCAGCATAAATTTCACCCACAGTTTCTGAGGTCAGCAGTCGCCTCTATTATTTTRTTTTTTGTCAACAACCCTGAGTAATAGATGTTTGTTTTTTTTTAATCATCTTTCTTCTCAGGTACTTCCAAAGCAGCTGGTGAGAGCTTGTAATTTGGGGAACTAGAACAAAGCCAGATTACAGACGCTCAACCTGAAAGTCCTGCACGGAAGGACGGTGACTTTCCATGAGCTGAGAATCCCCTGCAGCAAAAAAAAACAGCAAAGCAGGATGAACTCGCCCCATGAACAAGGAACTTTCCTTCATCTTCTCACCCGTGCAATGTGAGCAAGGCTTCTCTGGAAGATGCAAGTGCCGAGACAGCTGAGTGAGCTGAGGCTTGGGAGGTGTTAGATGCACTCTCGCACCTTAAAAACCACAACGTGCCTTTGTGTTGCTCCGTTTCTCCTCCCTGAGGTCCTCCCTGGCRTCTTGGAAATGAAGACAGAGCAGCRAGGGCTCAGCTGGAGSAACAAACGTGCTTGGAATCCYTTTTCTACTTTAGATGGACAGTGTTAGAGCTGGGCAATGTGTGCTGTTGGTTATTAGGGATAACATTTCACGTGCATCTCTTGCAGCTTTGAGAGTTTTGGGGGCTCTGGGGACTGAGGGGAGTTTTCTGCCCCAATTCAGCTGCTCCTCTCCTGTTCCCATTCCCACTCYCAYTATTSCAGCGCTCCCCTCTGCTCCCCTTAGCTCCATCCCCCAAAACCACAGAACCCRTGGAGCTGTAGCAGTATTACCCAGCCCCAAACCAATCCTGTTACAGTGTTTACCCAGCCCCAAATCAAAGCCTTGACCTGTTTGTTTGTGGAATGTCTTTATATGGCTTTATAAACTGTGTTGTGCCAGCCTCATCTCCTGGCTGTTACCTGGCTGTTACCTGGCTGTTTTCATTTTCACTCACTGTGTTGTAAATAAAGGCACCTTGCTGACAGCCCTGCTGGTGTGGAGAGTGCTCCTGACACCTCAAAAGAGCAACTTTGCACTGTTTGTCCCCAAAATAGGATTTGTTACCCRGTGTGGGACAAGCCAATAACGAAACGCTTCAGAGAGACATTGATTGATTATTGATGATTGATTTCAGAGGAGCCCAAGCCTGGGTGCTCGGTGGTGTCCCACAAACCCAGCACTGCCCTCTGCACTKCTCACACCATTATTTACACCCAGAGTGCAGAGTTAATAACTTTCCAAATATGCTGAGTTATTAATTCCCAKACAAATCAYGTAACCCCAGCRAATTTCTAATCGTGCTCAGGGGCAGAGTCTTTTYGACCTGTGATGTGATTTTCAGTGTTATCATCCAGAGAGTTCAGCTCTAGGATATCTAAACCTCGGGTGTTTTTCCCAGTTAGCAATGTACACATAGACACACATGCACATATTGATTTAATACAGATTAATTAATACTAAGATTTGTTAGTTCCAGGATGTCCTGGCTGAGGGATGCAACCGCTGCCTGTTCCCCTGATTAGCTCTCCTTTTTTTGCTGATTATGCCTGAAAGTGTAGAAATCCTACAGCAAGAAATGTCCTGACTTAAGATAATCCAGACACATTCCTCGTTCTGCAGCAGCACCCGAATAAAAAAATAAATAAAGCGCAGTGAGCGAGTGGCTGTGACAGGAGCTGCTCGGGGATTTGGGGACCGCGGGGACCACGCGGGACCCTTGGACTCGGCACGGCCCCAGGTGTCCCTGGGTGTCCCCGGGTGTCCCTGGCTGTCCCCGGGTGTCTCCGGGTGTCCCCGGGTGTGCCCAGGAGCCGCGGCCATTTCGGGGCTGCCCCGCCCTCACCTGCGCCAGGTGAGCGCCATGTTCCGGGGCTGAGCCCGGCCGGGATGCGGCGCCGAGGGGCGGCGGGGGCCGGGGGCCGCCTCCTCCTCCTCCTCCTGGTCCGGCGGGGAGCTCTGCTGCTGCTCGGTAACGGGGGCTCGGTGGGGATGGGACGGGACGGGATGGAATGGAATGGAATGGGATGGAGGGAATGGGACGGGGGCCGGCCGCCGCCTCTTCCCCCTCCTCCTCTTCCTCCTCCTCCTCCTCCTGGTCCGGCGGGGAGCTCTGCTGCTGCTCGGTAACGGGGGCTCGGTGGGGATGGGATGGGACGGGATGGAATGGGATGGGATGGACGGGACAGGATGGACGGGATGGGACGGGGGCCGGCCGCCTCCTCTTCCTCCTCCTCCTCCTCCTCCTCCTCGTCCCGCGGGGGGCTCTGCTGCTGCTCGGTAACGGGGTTCGGGTTGGGATGGACCGGACGGGACGGGACGGGAGCGGCGCTGCCCGCGGTGCTCCGGGGATCGCGAGTGGGAAGCGGGCGGGGATGCGGCTCCGGGAGCGCTGGATGGTCCCGGGAGGCTCGGGAAGGGCGATCCCCTGGCTGTGGGTACCCCAGTGAGGGTGGAAAGGCCGGGAAGGGCCGTCCGGGAGGCTCGGGAAGGGTCGTGCCGGGGTGGGGATGGTCTGGGGGCGGTGGAAGCTCCGCAAGGGCCGGGACAGAAGCGGCCGCACGCACTGGAAACAGGAACTGAGGGCGCTCGGTGCTCTGCCGAGACTGTTGACCCGTGGGTGTGCAATTCAGGCGTTGTGGTAAAAAACCATTGCTTTAAAGTACCTAAAACAGGTGATTTCTCGTCAGAGACCCAGCTGGTTCCATTTCTGGACTCTTTATCTCCACATCTGGGCTCTGGGTGGTCCTTCACAGGTTTATTTGGATCCCATTCCAGTCCCTCAGAGAACAGCTCAGGGAAGTTTTCTGCTTTCCTTCAAATTCCWGTGAGGGTAGGGAGTCACTGCTGTGCTCTGCTCTCTGAAATCTGGTTGTCCTGCACGTGTCTCAGCACTTTTGGGATAATTTTGCACCTCCCAGGTAACGAGAAATTAATCCCTGCCCTTTTTGTGCCTGTTCCATCAGGTGTCTGCAACGTCCTTTCCCTGGAAATTAAAACCAGTCCTAAGGTCCGAGCCTTCGTGGGCGAGCAAGTTCTGCTGAAATGCTCCTTCAAGTCCAGCTCCCCCATCACGGACAGCCTGCTGGTGGACTGGACCTACCGGCCCCTCACCGAGGGGCAGATGGAGACAGTAGGTGGAACGGGGCCAGGCCTCTGGGCACGCTGAAAATCAGAGTTTTCTGTTTGCTTTTTGGGCTRCTGCCTCACTTTGGGGTTTGGCACTCTCATTGTTTTCTTCTTTTCCCCTGTAAAATTCCTTTGGTGTTCTTCGAGCAAAAAAAAAAGAAAATTCTCTGTAAATACAACATTGCATAATGTTGATAAAATAGATAAATGTTGGGGTTTGCCACAAGTGCTGCATCGTGCACTGGGCAGAATAACTGTAAAGATTTGGTTGGTAGATTTATTTTTATAATATAGAAAATATTCTTTCTTACTTCTAAATGCGTCCTTATTCCTTCATTTTTACAATGCAAAAAGCAGTTTGCTCTGCTTTCTCAGATGCCTGTCTTWGTCCCACAATTATTGCCTTTCCCTCTTTGCAGATTTTTTATTATCAGTCCGTTCCACACCCCACAACGGCGGGGAAGTTCAAAGACAGGATATCCTGGGTCGGGAACGTTGCTAGGGGCGACGCTTCCATCGCTATCGAGAGCCCGGMGCTCAGCGACAACGGGACCTTCACGTGCAGCGTGAAAAACCCTCCAGATGTTTATCACAACATCCCCCAGACCGTGCTGGTGGTGACAGAGCGGGGTAAGGCTCCCTGCCCCTAATTTGGCCTCATTTGTGTGACAGAATCGCTTTGTGGGATCGCGGAGCTCTGAGCATCGCGTGGGAAACGCTCCCTGGAGCTCCATGCTGGAGTTTGAGCAGGGGTTAGCTCAGCTCTGCTCTCTGAGCTCAGTGCTTCGAATCGATTTGGGGCAGGAAGGGGACGGGGGAAGCTGTGGTGATAACAGGAGTCAAAAGTGTCCCTTTGTTCAGAAGTTTCAGCCTCCGCAAATTGCGGCAGAGCAAGTTAAACATTGAGGAAGCGCTGGCCTAAAAATAATCCCCACATCAGAAGCGCTGATTGTCAGTAATAATTTCCTCATCTGCCYTGCGTGCCAGCCCTGCCCCAAATTCCCAGTGCTGATGGAACTGTGCCRTGCCCTGCCTTCCTTTGCAGCTCCTGCATCTGAGCGCCTGCCTGGGCTGGGTTTGGAGACAGGAACCCCGCAGGTTTGGGGACAGGAACCCTGCGGGTTTGGGGACAAGAACATTGCAGATTTAGGGGCATCAGCCTTGCAGATTTGGGGACAGGAGCCCTGCAGGTTTGGGGACAGGAACCCTGCGGGTTTGGGGACAAGAACCTTGCAGATTTAGGGGACAGGAGCCCTGTAGATTTAGGGACAAGAACCTTGCAGATTTAGGGACAAGAACCTTGCAGATTTAGGGGCATCAGCCCTGCAGGTTTGGGGACAAGACCCTTGGAGTTTTGGGGACAGGAACCCCACAGATTTGGGGACAGGAACCCCACAGATTTGGGGACAGGTTCCCCACAGGTTTGGGGACAGGACCCTGGCAGATTTTGGGACAGGAGCCCAGCAGATTTGGGGACACGAGCCCTACAGATTTGGGGACAAGAACCTTGCAGATTTACAGGCAGGTTTCCCGCAGATTTGGGGACATCAGCCCAGCAGATTTGGGGACAGGAGCCCTGCAGTTTTGGGGGCAAGAGCCCGGCAGATTTGGGGGCAGGAATCCCACAGATTTAGGGGCAGGAGCCCCGCAGGTTTGGGATCAGGAGCCCTGCAGATTTGGGGACAGCAGCCCTGCAGATTTGGGGACAGGAGCCCTGCAGGTTTAGGGCTGTTTGGAGTCTGCCAGCCCCATGTTTCATGTGAAAGGGCCACCAAGCTGTGCCCTGGGTGGTTTTTATGCCAGAAGCTCAGCAGAGCTGTGTCCCATTGCAGGCCTGACCTTCCAGCTGACCTCAGCAACCCTGCTGTCCATCCTGGTGTTTCTCCCTTCTGCCATCGTGGTCGTTCTGCTGCTGGTGAGGATGGGAAGGAAATTCCGGCAGCAGAAGGAGAAAGGAAAATCTGGCTACAAGAAATCCTCCATCGAGGTGTCTGATGAGTAAGTGGTGGCTGCGAGCTGGAGCCTGCATTTCCACTTTGGGGTGTTGGCACAGCACCAGGGAGGATTTCCCCATTTTCCTTCAGCATAAACTGCAGTTCAATCACTGGTATTGCCTCTCAAATGGGAAATTCCCATTTTGGAGCATAAACCAAGTGCTGCACATCCCCTTTTCTCCGATTTGCGTGAGGAATGCTGTGGAACCGAGGCACTTTAGACATTATTTCACTTCTGTAATCAGGTTTCCTTCGGCCTGAGTCAGCAGGACGTTTTGCACACGTGAGCTTTGAGTGTTGCATTTKGATGTGAAGTTCCCATAATGATAAAATAAACCAAATATGGTGAGGTGGCCCTGAGCAGAGATGCTCAGCACTGCAGGAGCTTTGGGGACTGAATTCCCTTCTGCTCTGGGAAGGTTCAGTAGAGAAAAGGATGAGGTAACAGCGCTTCTGCAGGAGCTGCACCTGGCTTTGAAATTATTTCCATACAACAATTCCTTGCAAAATGATATTTTTACTGCAGCCTTTTAATGTTCTGATAGGTGGTGTAAGATTTGCCAGCCAAAAAGCAGCTTTTGTGTTACTCTTTGTGGTGCTTGAGTGAAATATCCACCTTCAAAATGAGGCACCGGGCAGTTTTGAGTCATTTTGGTTTTGCTGTGCGGAGCCAAAGGCTTTTCACCACGGTGAAAAACTTCAGTCCCATGTGCTATAACAAGAATTTACAGTCCAGAGGCGATTTGGGAATGTCTAGGAGGGGAAAGTCCAACTGCTGCTGTGCTTTTCCTGCAGGCCTGAGCTCCCAGAGACRGCCGGCTGCTGCGGGGGGAAGCTCAGGGAGTGGTGTCTGAGCTGTGTGGTAAGTGAAAGTCTGCTGTCACCGGGGGGTTTGCCAACTTGGGTACTCCGAGGAGGTGCTGAGAGCAGCAGGCAGGGTGTCAGAACACCTTTGGGTGTCCCAAATGGCTCCTCAGAGCTCCCCAACTGTGGGCACCAAGAGCTGCTGGTGGTACTGGTGAGGAATCTGTCATGAGATCCACCAAACTGATTTTTCATTTGATTTGATTGGAATCAAAGGTGTCAGAACACCCTTGGGTGTCCCAAATGGCTCCTCAGAGTTTCCCAGCTGCTGGTGGTACTGGTGAGGAAGCTGTCATGAGATCCACCAAACTGATTTCTCATTTGACTTGATTGGAATCAAAAGTGTCAGAACACCTTTGGGTGTCCCAAATGGCTCCTCAGAGCTTCCCAGCTGTGAGAGCTGCTGGTGGTACTGGTGGGGAAGCTGTCATGAGATCCACCAAACTGATTTTTCATTTGAYTTGMTTGGAATCAATCGCTYTAAGATGGAAAATCAGGATTGAAGTGCCTGAAGCTGCTGCGGGGTCCCTTTAGGGGCTCTGAGTGAGCAGTTTGGAGCTGGCAGTGCTGTGTTTTTGCAGAGATCTTSCTCCTTTTTCTTCATTCGTGTTGCAACAGAGCATTGCTCAAGCCYGGTGGTTTGTTTGTTTGTTTGTTTCTGKTTTTTGTTTGCTGCACTCTYTGAAGCCGCCGTTTCCTTCTCATTTTGCCCCTTCCTTTCCCAGCCCAGCAGCAGCTCCTGTTCATCAGCTCCTGAGTGTTTTGGCCACCTGCTTCCCCTGGTTTGGATCAGCAGCCACAAGTGGGGCACATTCCAGACTAATTCCCAATTTGAGAGGCCTTTCATTCCCTCCCTGCAGAGCAGATTGACCTCAGGGGTTCCTGTGCCTCTCACCAGAGTCAGGATGTGTGTTAAGGAGGATTTAAACACGCCAGTGTCGCTTGATTCACCCCTCTAATGCCAGTGATTTAAAATGCTCCTAAATGCCCAAGCCTTCAGACAGGCGTGTGCTGATGGTTTCTGTGAGATACAGGATGGAAAACAGGCAATTACGTAAGCTGGACATAAAATATTTACAATTCTGCAAAAGGCACGGCAGGTCCAGGGCTGCAGTGCTGGGAAGGAGGGTTTGGGGAGGYGCAGGATGCAGGAAATGCTCTGTGCCTGAGGCTGCTCCAGGTGACATTYTGGGAATCAGGGAAAGGATGGAGCCGCAGTTTGGTGAGGGAAACGCTGTCAGGATGTGGGAGATGTTAAAAGTTGAAAAATGTCTTCTCATCCTTTGGGAGGAGTCAAACTGGAGTGATAAAATCCTGCTGCTTGCATGTATTTGGTCAGGTTTGATCCTTTGCTGCCTGACACTTTATTATATTTATATTTAATATTTATCTGATCAGGCCTCTGAGARCRCTGCCCCACTCACTTTAACGATTCYGCATTTTTGAGGTTTCTCTAATGTGCTTTTTCCATGCTCAATACGTGACCAAACAATTAAAATTGCAAAGCCAATGGAAAAAATCTCTTTAGGCTCAAAAAGTCRGGAGTGTCAGTGAGATTTGCCTGGTGGAGCTGAGGAGTTTGGGTGAGTTTCCAGCTCAGAGCTGCTTGTGGGGACACCAAATGAGTCCTGTGGTTACAGCAACAGACTCAGATGGGGCTCTGAGTGGTTGTCAGGGCTCAAAAACAATAATTTGTGCTGCTCAGGATGATCTCTGCAGGGAGGTGCTGCACTTTCTGCTTCATCTTCAGCTGCTGCTTCTCTCCAAACATGTTTCACACATGTGGGTTACGCTGTGGTGACAGTGTCTGGGGGGATTCAAACCAAGTTAGTGCTTTATAGGTGTCTGTATTTACATTTATATTTATATTTATACCGGTGTTTTCACAGCTTCTCTGTCCTGCTCAAGCACAGCAGCATTTCTGGGAAGCGTTTAGGTTCTTGCCAGGAGCCCAGGCAGGCTCAGCATTTGGCTTAACTCATTCCTGTCTTTACACAGAATCCCAATTTCTTTCCATGTTCCCCATTTAGGATACGGATGAGGAAGATCCATACTGAAGCTCTGGAGAAAAAAGCTAAAATTACAACCCTGAAAATGGTGGTTAGACCCTCCCAGAGGCTGCTGGATAMCCAGTGCAGATTGAAGGATGTGCTCTACTCTCGGTGGATTGGAAGAACAATGCACAAAATAATGAATTTTTTTTAAAAAAAAAAGTCTTTCTAATTTATTGGGGAAAAGAATATCTTACCCTCCCTTCTGCAGTGCCTACAGTGCCAATGTGCCTTGGTTTACCKGCAGATTGATTTGATTTATTGGTTTGAWTTTTTTTGRTGATATCCCTCCCTTCCTGAGCCCTCAAAATCCAACTTCTCGAAGCAAAAGCTGCTCCAGCTCTCTGGGCACTGACAAAATTCTCAGGTTTTTTGGACTCAAAACCAGTTTGATGAAGAATCCTCTGTCTTGGAGTGAAGAGAACCTACTGCTTTTGAAGTATTTTTYGGTTTATTCAGCCTCATCACTGGGCTGAATCTCCTTCTACTCGTAGAAGTGAAGCACAATTCATAGGAAGTTACAATTTCTTCTTTATTTAAATCAGAAATGCAAATGGGGACTCTGTTTCTGGGGACACATAACCCCATCTACCTCAGCCATGGACTCAAGCACTGCCCAAAGCAATGTTTTTTTTTTTTTGCAGTAGTTGTTTTCTTCCTYCCTCCCTCCCATTGTAGGGAAATGGTTCAGCATTGCTTCCCCTTGAGGAAGGGCAATTCCTCTTTCACCAGCCCTGGCCAATAWTGGATGGCAGAGAGCAGTGGAATTCATTCAATAAATCCCTAAAAAGCTGCTTCCTTTCTGAGTTAGTCAAATATTCTCCTTTTACAGATGTGCTACAAGTTTGCTGTTGAATTTCCGTGTACCATTACCAATAAATTGCATTATTTCATTCCATGCTCTGAGTCTCTTTATTTGGCTAAATACAGCTGAACTCCTAAATCTGCCATCCTGAGGGGTAAAAATTGCCATGGGATGGTGGGTRAAGGTTTTTAGGAGCAGATTTGAGCGAAAAGGGAGCAGATACCAAATCCCCCCTGAGCATCCCAGGTCTCAGGTGCGGTGAAGCTCCTCAGTGAGAAGTAGGTCAGCTGTAGATCTRTGCCTCCAGATAAAGAAAAACACTTTTTCTCCTGTCTACTCTAAAGCAATATTTAAAATGTTTGTGCTCCCTGGTGACACAACATCTTTGTCAGCCCAAACTTSCCCCGGGAAAGGCTGGTGGGGGGATCATGGAGCCCGGGGGAAGTGGCTTTGCTGTTCCACTTCTCTGTGGAAACCAAAAGCTCTTTTTTTGCTGCAAAGTGTTGGATCTCAGCTGTGACTCTCTGGCCAGGAGGGTGCTGAATCCTGGGTGAATATTCCTGGTGCAAAATTGAGCTGCCAGCTTGGAGCTGTGAGTGGGGCTGAGCTTTCTGCTCCAGTGCTGCCCTCATGCAAATGTCTCGGTGCACCACTGAGACTGGAACGGAGAACAGGAGCTGCTGTGGTGTCTGGAGGAAAGAGGAAGGGTGAAAATGGGCTTTCAGATGGGCCAGGGGGATTCAGTGATGGAAAGCAGGGGCTGGTGGGTGGCTCAGAAGGCAGCAGCTGCCYGTGCTGGGGCTGTGGTGGCACCAGAAGGCACAGCCACATTGCCCAGTGCTGCTGGGACAGGATCCCGCTCTGAACCCCAAAAACAGAGCAGGAGGGAGCTCGGGGTGCACAGCAGGAATCTGTCTGCTGGGCTGGTCATCACAACCAGCCAGGTCAGTTGGTCACTCTGGGCCTGAGCACAGCTCGGCCAAGTGAGGCACCCCTGGGAGCTGCCCCATCGCCCCTCTGAGGGGAGGGGTTCCCTTTCCCGTGTCACATCCCCAGTTTTTGTTCTGCTTCCTCTTGGTTGTGACAGTGCCCATCACAGTTAACCTGAGAAAAGGAACAGACACTGCTGAGACAGATCCTGCACACACCTCGAGATAATTTACCAACTGATTCTGATACCCCAAATCAATCACTTTATACAAGACAAGCTGCCTTGCCAGGCCACACCAGGTGAGTGGTTTTTGCTGTAATATTTATTTYTGCATTTTTTTATTTCCTGAGAAGAGGAGCAGAAGTGCTGGTGCCTCACCCCATGTGAGAAATGCAAAGGGAAATGCAAAGGCCAGGTGGTGTCTGTGTCCTTTTTAACCCCGATCTGTTTGGGAAGGGCGATTTTGGATGTGTCAGCACTGGAGCACAAAGCACAGCCTGGTGAGTGGGTGCTGGCTCCAGCTGRTGCCTCCCAGCACCCTGTCCCTGCCCCGTGTCACAGGGGGACACCCTGCAAAAATGTGCTCCCAGACAGCACCACAACTCCTTCCAAAAGCAGGGCAGCAAACCCAGCAAGGACTCGGTGGCAAATGAAGCCCAGGGCTCCAGCAGCTCRGCTGCAGGGAGATTTGGAAGGTTCTGGGGATTTGGGGAGGTTCTGGGTATGGAAATGCCATCTTTTTGTTGTTGGGGCTGCGTGGGGTGGTCCTGGGAGGGTGCAGAGCTGCATTTTGGCAGTCYCTGGGGAAGGAGGATGCTGTGCCTGCTGCCCTGAGCCGTGCTGGCCCTGAGCAGGAGCGGGGTTTGTCGGTCGTGTGTGCACCAGCCTGGGCTGTGCAGCAAAGTGGGTCATGGCAGGAGCACAGCAAACCCCGCAAAAACCCAGCCCCAGAGGGCTCCGGGGTGTGAGAGGCAGATGGGAGAGAATTCCTGAAATTTTGCTGCCATTTCTCATGTTTTTTGGTTTGTGGAAAGGGCAGGATGATGAAGGTACTGTGGTGACTTTGTCAGCCTAGAATTGATCCAAGGATCCCCAGCAGCTGATTCTGGGGCTRATCTGGAGATCCTCTCACTTGCACAGKGGAGCAAAAAAAATGAAAGCCACCRARATGCCAGAGATGATTCAGCTCCTGTCTTTCTTTTTCATTTCTGTATTGGAAAATGAAAAATGGTGCTGGTAAATGGCGGCCTCAGCTTCATGTGAGAGYTCTGCGGGCAGGAGAGCCGCTCTCAGTAACTTTTTACCCTCAAAAAAGTTTGGAATGGGCACAACTGGGAATCAGGGAGCAGGGATGAGGCAGGCAGGGTGCTGACTCCTGCCTTCCTTCGGACACAGGCTGGCAGATTGCCGGTGCTGACAGCCCATCCTTCCCTGGGCTGCAGGACAAATCTGGGATGTGCAGARAGGAGATGTCAGCTTGACTCTGAGAGATGTGGAGCAGGTCAGGCTGAATGCAGGCAGCAGATGTGGCTSTCACCATGTGCAGCACCCTGGGGGCTCACTCTGGAGTAGGGGGTTTGTGTTTTGGGATCAAACTTCCCTAATTCTGTCCTATTAAAAACAACTGATTGCTCTGGGAGCAGAAGCAATGCTGAGAGAAGCTCGGCTCAGAGCAGAGGCTCGACCCCCAAACCACAGGAAAAAGCCGTCATTTAGGAGAAAGCACGAAGGGGTTTAGGCCAAGCCCTTTCCCCCACGCTCGCTCCTCCTTGYCGGGCTCAGCACAGGCTCAAAATCAAAACCCAGAGCTCTGGTTCCTGCCCGTTCCTGCCCTCTGTGCTGCCCTGACTTTCCCTGTGTCCYTGGTGTCCCCAGTGTCCYCTGGGGCAGGTGTCACCTCTGCTGTTCTTTTCAGAGTGAGATGAAGGTGTTGCTGAGCCTGACCCTGGTGCTGGCATGGCTGGGTAAGCTCTGAGTTTTATTTCCCTCTGCTTTCCYCTCTGCCTTTGCTCTGAGAGCCACCAGTTTCTCTCCTGCTGTGGTGAGAAGCCTTGGAGCTGCTCCTCTGGTGGTGCCAGTCCCTTCTCTGGCCCCTGTGTGTGCTGCCCCTGCCCTTCCTGCAGAGCTCCCCTACAAACAGSCTTCCATCTGCTCTGGCATCCCCTCCATGTGTCCTGTGCTTATTCCCGAGGCTTTGAAAGGATCAGAATCACTTCAYCGAGTCTAAACACAGGGAGAGGTTTCCAAGGCATTGATTTGGGCTCTGCTCGAGGCAAGCAGCTCCTCTGCTCTTCTCCGCTGGCAAATATTTGTAATTTTCTGTTCCATAGCTGGTCAAGACCAACAGAACTCGTTTGGGAAGCTGCAGCACTTTGCATTCATTATTCACGGGGTTCCAGGCAAACACCTGGTGCTTGGCCAAGTGCTTGTGGTCAGGCTGAGCAGAGCGGCTCAGCGGCTAAGCCGAGCTTACCTGTCTGAGCAGCTCCCGCTGAATCAGCTCCCCAGCTCGCAGCAAACAGCAGCCAGAGCCTCAGCCTCCCCTTGCCGTGCCGCTGAGGCAGGTGGGGTTTCTTCTGACGAGCTCCAGTGCTGTTTTCTGCCCCCTCATTTCAGAGAATCGTKCAGTTCAGAGATTTTACCCCTTCCTGCCGCACGCTCTACGGCCCAGTGAGCCGGCAGCTGCTCCCTGCAGGTTGTGGCAGCTCCGTGCTCTGTGCTGTTCCCATGGTTTGCTTTTTCCCCCACTGCCCAGCTTCTCTAGAAACCCCACGCTGTGGTTAGGTGGCCAGACAAGCTCAGGTCTGGAGCCTRTGAGCAAAGGGGAAGGAAGCCAAATGGGCAGTGAGGGAGGAACTGAAAATTGGTGAGAAGCACTTGAATTGCCGCTGGCCTGGCACMGATGAGAGCAGCACAGGTTCTCCCAGCCGTGACTCACCGGCACGGCACGGCACGGCCCCGCAGGAGCTGCAGGCTGTGGCTCCGAGGCGTGCAGGGCAGGGGCTGTGCCTCCCAACCTCCCTTCGGCTGGGTCACACGCCGCATTCCCAGCCCTCGCTGTGGCGCAGGGAGGATGTGCTGCCCCACATCCCGGGCACGCCACGAGCAGGGGTCAGGCACAGGCTTGGCCTCTGGACTGGTCAGTGGCGTGAGCCCCAGGCTTGCCCGGACAGCAGATGGCCATGGGGACAGGCAGGCTGCAGCTGGCCGTGCTCCCCGGGCTCATCCTGCTGTCCTTGTCCCCGGCAGAGCRGTGCAGCGGGGCCGGCTGGGTGTTCATGGAGCCGCAGCTCCGAGCTAGGGCTGGGGACTCCGTGCTGCTGCAGTGCCTCTTCCTCGACTCSGACAGCAAGGGCTGGACCCTGCTCAAGGTGGACTGGCTGCACAGGGCAGGAGCTGGCACTCAGGTGGGTCAGGACGGGGCTGGCAGGGGAGGGGACACGGGGGGGTGAGCATGGCAAACGTGGGGAGGCTGTGGGGAAGCCTGAACTGGCCTAGGCCATGAGGGGAGGAAGGGTCCAGGACGGGAGGAAGGATCCAAGACAGGAGAAAGGAGAAAGGAAGGATCCAGGTCCAGGAGAGGAGAAAGGGTCCACGAGGGGAAGAAGGGTCCACGATTGAAGGGTCCACAAGGGGAGAAAGGCTCCGGGAAAGGAGGAAGGGTCCAGGAAAGGAGGAAGGGTCCAGGAGAGGAGGAAGGCTTCAGGAAAGGAGGAAGGGTCCCCATGTGGTGGCAGGGCACCTCTGCGTGGCCCCGCACCACTCTGGGTGCCGAATCCCGGGGTTTTCGCGGAGTGTGTGGGAARGCCAAGCTCTGTGCGAGGAGAGCAACCCACGGGGAGAGCGAGAGCGTGTGAACGTGATGGCTCCTGAGGAGGGCAGGGCACCGCCACTCCCTTCCCCTGACGCCGCCTGTGCCCTGGCAGGAGGAGATGGTGTTTTTTTACTACAGCAACCACGGCGTGCCCGTGGGCCGCTTCAAGAACCGGGTGCAGTGGCGGGGGAACATSTCCCGCTCGGACGGCTCCATCCGCCTGCGGGACGTGCGTGTCAACGACAGCGGCACCTACGAGTGCGAGCTGAGGCTGCTGCAGAACAGCAGCATCTTCAAGAGCCAGACGGAGCTGCGCGTCAGCCCCGCGGTGCTCAGAGGTGCGTGTCGTGCCCCGGAGATGTCCCCGGAGCTGTCCCCGGAGATGTCCCCGCGGCTCTCCCGCAGCCGGGTGGCGTCCCCGCGGTGCCATCCCCTGCCTCGGTTTCTCCCCGGCAGAAGGAGGAGCAGAGGGTGCTGAGGATGTCGCGCCCCCGAGGGATTCGGGGTTCTGGCCGGCCGTGGTGGGCTGCGGCTGCGTGGCCGTGGTGGTGGCGTTCCTGGCCGGGCTCTGCGTGAGGAAGAGGTACCGACACGGGCTYTGGGTTGGCAGGAGTGAGAAAACACCTCCTTGCCCTCCTCTGTCCCACGGGGCGGGCTCTCAGGTGCGAGGGTTCAGCTCGCCAGGTGTGGGCTGCAGGCTCCTGCTGCCATCTAGTGTCACCTTGCCCTGGCCGGTGTCCCCTCGGCTCCCAGAGCGGCCGGG